TTTCAAATGGTCAATAATTATTTGAAATGGAAAGCAGAGAGGGATTTAGTTACTAAAAGCATGATAAATGGATGATATATATTCAGGGGTTTGAGATTTATGTGTGTTTTCCGGTTCAAGTTGTGGTGGATGACACAAAGGATGGGCACAAGTGGCCAAGATATACCTTTCGAAACTCAGTTCTTGATAGTCGAAGGCCGTGACGGCTCGAATTTCGGCCAAGGGGTAGCCGAACAATCGTCACTATACGTTGTTTTCTTGCCCATTTTGGAGGGAGATTTTAGGGCTGTTCTACAAGGAAATGCAAACAATGAGTTGGAGATATGCCTCGAGAGTGGTATGCCCAAGATCAACTGTCTTTTATTTTACTTCATTTTTCTTTTCTTTTTCCATCATTTATGTGTATTTGAACTTTTGAGCAATATAGGTGATCCTGCTGTGCAAGAGTTCGATGGGAGCCGTCTGGTGTATGTTGCAGCTGGATCTGATCCATTTGATGTCATAACAAATGCTGTCAAGTATGTTCCTCTATCTTTATTCTTTTGCTCTCAGCTATCATTTTTTTTTTTTAATTGTATGGTTTTCCTGAGCTTCCTAAATTTATTGAAACCAGTAACTTAAAAATGAAATATTGTGACTGTTCCTTTCGGGCTGCACGTGTGATCTATGCTAGTTGCCGGAATTTATGATGAAAATATATCTTGATATTTATTATACATTTTAGCTAGGTTTTATACGAGCTCTTTCTGTCATTAGCGCATCGTATGTTTTTAACTGAAGAAGCAAAATTAGCGACAACATTCGTAATATATGCAGGACTGTGGAGGGGCATTTGCAGACTTTCTCTCACCGTGAAAGAAAAAAGGCGGAGTAACTAAATCTTTACAGTTCGAGTTATTGTGGGATTAATTAAGATGAATCTTTAGAGTCTAAAAGTTGCTCTTTGCCGTGATCCAGATGCCGGATATGTTGAACTGGTTCGGTTGGTGCACATGGGATGCTTTCTATACTAACGTTACTGCCGAGGGTGTGAAACAAGGCCTGGAGAGGTAAAACATAGTTACAGATCAATATAAGCCGGCAAAATGGCACATTTAGTAAATTCTAGAGACATGACTTTTAAATAATCTGCCTGCTTTTCGTGCAGTTTCAAAAAAGGCGGGATTCGCCCAAAGTTTGTCATAATTGACGACGGATGGCAATCGGTTGGCATGGACCCGACTAGCGAGGCAACAAAAGCTGATAACTCCGCAAAGTGGGTGTCTTGCTAATAAAAATTTTGCCTTTTGTCATTTATTGTTTTCGTTTTTTTTCTTACATAACCCGAATCTTGACCTACTGTTGACTTTGCTCGTTTGTCCATTTTCCCAGTTTCGCGAACAGATTAACTCATATCAAGGAGAACCACAAATTTCAAAAGGATGGGAAAGAAGGCGAAAGGGTAGAAGATCCATCGATGGGAATTCGGCACATTGTCACCGAAATCAAAGATCACCACTCGGTGAAGTATGATGCTTTTGAAATCACTAAAGAAACTCACTTTTAAAGTTTTAGCCAGGAAAAAAAAAAAAAAAAGTTAAAAGAAAATTGCTTTTCGACTCCACTCGTAGTTTGACACTTACTGTGTATGACAAAATGTCACTTATTTACATCTCTTTTTCTTTGGCCAACAATTTTCAGGTATGTTTACGTGTGGCATGCAATTACGGGTTACTGGGGAGGTGTTAAGCCTGGAGTGGCTGAAATGGAACACTATGAGTCGAAAATGGCTTATCCTGTCTCGTCACCCGGGGTTCAGTCGAATGAACCATGTGATTGTTTAAATATCATCACTAAAACTGGCCTCGGTTTAGTTAATCCCGAGAAAGTCTATAGTTTCTACAATGAGCTGCACTCTTACCTTGCCTCGGCCGGCATTGATGGAGTGAAGGTGGACGTACAGAACATCCTCGAGACCCTTGGGGCAGGACACGGTGGGAGGGTTAAACTTGCCAGGAAATACCACCAGGCACTGGAGGCATCGATTTCGAGGAACTTTCCCGATAATGGGATTATTTCCTGCATGAGTCACAATACGGATGGTTTATATAGGTTAGTTGTGGATGGTGGTATCATTAGTATTTTTCTCTTACTGTTTTGAAGTATTTTTTTGGGGCTTATTTGAAATGTGGAGTTATTGCCAAATCCGTTAACGCCTCAAAAAATGGAGAACAGTCTTACTATGGCCGTGTTACCTAAAATGTGAGTAATTTGGTGTACTTGACCAACCGTTTTTTAAAAAGAGAAAATTGACTTGATATACGAGGAAATGAACTGGTCCAAGAAATAGAAAATGGGGCAAACTGGAAAATTGAGTGTTTAAAAGTATGGTTAAGAAATATTTTTTTCTGTTGCTTGCTAATTTAAATGGCGATTTGTGTGGTCTTTGCGCAGTGCAAAAAGGACGGCAGTTGTTAGAGCATCGGATGATTTCTGGCCTAGGGATCCAGCATCACACACGATTCACATTGCTTCAGTTGCTTACAACACGATTTTCCTAGGCGAGTTCATGCAGCCGGATTGGGATATGTTTCATGTAAGCTGACGATGACCTGTTGTTAACAACACAGTTTGGAATACTATTTATGCTGATCATTGATTTAATATACAGAGCAAACATGAAATGGCTGAATATCATGCAGCAGCACGTGCTGTTGGAGGCTGCGCTATCTATGTCAGGTATCTTAAACATCCGTGAGCTTTGTCATCATTTTGTAGATAATATTGTTCGTTTGAATTTTTCTTTTTTTCTTATATTTACATTGGATTTTCGAAAATATGCAGCGATAAGCCCGGGCAGCATGACTTTAACCTTCTGAAGAAACTCGTGCTTCCCGATGGCTCCATATTGAGGGCCAAACTTCCAGGAAGGCCAACTCGTGATTGTCTGTTTTCAGATCCAACCAGAGATGGAAAAAGGTATAACCCGGAAAAAAAAAAGAAAAAAAAAAAGAAGCTATTTGGCATATTTTCCTAGTAGATTTTATTTATTATTAATTCGGTATTAACTACAATAATCTCACTTCAGCTTGTTAAAGATCTGGAATCTAAATGACCACAATGGAGTAGTGGGGGTCTTTAACTGCCAAGGAGCTGGCTGGTGTAAACACGGAAAGACGAATCTGATTCATGACGAGCAACCTGGCTCGATAACTGGAATCATTCGAGCTACGGATGTTGATTACCTTCCAAGAGTCGCTGAAGATGGATGGAATGGAGATGCGGTTGTCTACTCTCATCTACGCGGTACTTACCTATACAACCTCACCTTTGATGATATATATATTCACATTATATATAAATTTTAATTTTTTTTTGGGTCTGCAGGGGATTTGGCTTATCTTGCGAAGAATGCGTCTCTCCCAATCACACTGAAATCACGAGACTATGAAGTCTTCACTGTGGTCCCTACCAAGAAATTGGCAAACGATGTTGCATTTGCACCAATAGGCCTTATAGAAATGTTCAATTCCGGAGGTGCAATTAAAGAAGTAAACTATGAGACAGAAAAGCCAGGAACTGTCGGCATGAAAATCCGGGGTTGCGGCCCCTTTGGAGCCTATTCATCCATTAGACCTAAAAGAATTATAGTGGATGCCATTGAAGTGGAGTTTGAATATGATGAAGCATTTGGGTTTGTCAAACTTGTTCTGCAAGTTCCAGAGAAGGAGATGTACCTTTGGGACGTTATCGTTGAGGTTTGAAGAAAATTTGAAATAGAATAGGATCACGTGCAGGATCCGATCTCCATTCCGGGCATGTAGGTCGATTTATTCTTAGTTAGTAGAATAAATTGGAATAATTTGTTGTACCTATGATATGAGAGGCCCTGTATAACAAGACTACAAGGTACAACAGAGTGCATTCTTGTTTCTCTTGATATGTTTCCTTTTCTTTATCTTTTCCCCTGCAAGCATCTTATAGACGGAAAATTCGATCCTACAGGTGGGGGCAGTGCAGTCATGCCCCCACCACCCTTGATTTCACACACACCCATGTGGGTGTGTGTGTGTTTGTGTGTAAATCAAGGGCCCCTAGGGGCTGACTGCAGTGCCCCTAGGGGTAGGATCGAATTTACCCTTATAGACTGAGAGGGCTCAATAGGAGTTCACTGGGTCATTGAGTTTTTAGATTGGGAAAAAGTATATATATGCACATATATTGGCTTCATCTGTCCCTTTATGGTACCTTTATGCTAGCGAGAACATAAGAGTTTTACAAGCACACAATAGAGAAGGCAAAACATAGTATTTCATTTCGGTACATGAAAGAAACAGAACACAAGCAGTGTTGCTATGGTCTGCTTATGATGAGCAGGATTGATTCCCATTTTTCTATAAGAGCAACTCCAAGAGTTGCCTAAAAATTTCTTCCCCAAAACAATGTATTGGGGGCTTTCCCTAAAAACAACTTCCCTAAAAACTCATCATCCCACAGCAGATTGCTAATAACTAATCCCTAATATTTTAAAACAGGCTACGTCATTGTAATTGGGCCCATTGCCCACGCACAGAAACTCCCCGCACAGAAACTCCCTCACAGCCGTCGCTAGGAGCTCGACGTCATCGCTGCGATCTCCGGAGATAGGTAAAACGGATTCGGTATGAGTCGACGAAGCCTTTCCATGCAGCTGGTGATGAGTTCGTCGTCAGATGATGACGCTGATGATTTCCTCCTCTCTATTACTCATGTGGCCATGAATGCCGATGAGTCTGACGATGAAACAAAACATCGTGGTTCTATCCTAGGGCATCGAGTACTTGAGCGAGACAGACACGCAGGACATCATAGGTTGTACAAAGATTATTTTTCAGATGATCCTACGTACGGACATAGTTATTTTAGACGAAGGTATGTAAACAATAGATTTATTTGGACTTTTTTTTAATAAATCCATATATATGTGTCTCATTACTTTTGAATTACAGGTTTCGAATGAGGCGTACACTGTTTGTACGCATATGGAATGCCGTAGAACAACATGATCAATATTTCGTACAGAAAAGAAATGCTGCCGGTATACTTGGGTTGTCTAGTTTGCAAAAGATCACTGCAGCATTCCGGATGATAACTTATGGAATAGCAGCTGATGCTACAGATGATTATGTGCGTATTGGCGAGAGTACTGCTATTGAGAGTCTGAGAAGGTTTGTCAGCTCTGTAGTGGAGGTTTTTGGTGATGAGTACTTGAGATCACCTAATGAAGATGATACAGCTAGGTTACTAGCAATTGGAGAGAGTAGAGGTTTTCCTGGTATGCTTGGCTCGATTGATTGCATGCATTGGAGGTGGAAAAATTGTCCTTCAGCATGGCAAGGTATGTACACCGGGCATGTGCATGAGCCTACAATTATACTTGAAGCTGTGGCCGATAAAGATCTTTGGATTTGGCATGCTTTCTTTGGGATGCCTGGTTCCCACAACGACATCAACGTTTTGCACCGGTCTTCTTTATTCGCACAACTAGCTGAAGGTCAAGCTCCAAAGGTGAATTATAGTATTAATAACAACGAATATACAATGGGTTATTATCTCGCCGATGACATATATCCCTCGTGGGCTACGTTTGTGAAGACCATACCTGAACCACAAGGTAATAAGAAGAAATATTTTGCAATTGCCCAAGAAGCTTGTAGGAAGGACGTTGAACGAGCGTTGGGGTTCTACAGGCTCGTTTCGCAATCGTCAAGGGACCGACTCGATTTTGGGATGAAGACACCCTCGGAAATATCATGCGAGCTTGTGTCATTATGCACAACATGATAGTTGAGGATGAGCGCGATGAGGAACATGAAGAAAATGTGAAGATGTCTCATTGTGCGACACCTGAACTTGAGGAGTTTATTAAGAATTACAAAAATATAAAGGACAGAGTTATTCACAGTCAACTTCGAGATGACCTCGTTGAACACCTGTGGCAACATCATCCAGACCTGTACAAATGATTACCTATAGTTAATATTTATTCGCTATTTTCATTCATTATGGATACATAATAATTTTTTTGTACTTGAGACAATGTTATTCATGAGAATCGTTATTTTTTTCTTCTTAATTGATTTTTTTGTTGTGCTGTGGTGTGGCCATGTTTTTGTGCTTTGAGAATGAACATGTCAAAACTTCTTTCCTCGGGCCATTCTTCATAAGATCATAGAACTTTTTTCTTTCAATGAGAATTTCCTAAGATAATGTAAACCTGTCTTATTGGGTATATGATTTTTCTTTGCTGCATGTTGTCCATTTGCTCCACTCTCAAAAGAAAATGTGGCCAAACCTTGAAAAAAAAATGCTAAAATCGATTATTACTTTGCGCGGGCCTCCTAAGGTTGTGTTGAGCGTAATAACATGTACGTGTCGTCTTGACCATTCTCGAGAAGGTCTAATGGTTTGAAGTGTATCACGAGTCTGTAAAGTTGTAGGAGTTTTAATAATACTAAAATTTTTGCCGTCTAATCGTTAGGCAGATCCACTCGTCGTGGAAAAAAAAAAATTAGTGATGCTTTTATGTAAAAGTGATATCTTGAGATGCATTAAACTAGCAGATGGTGAGAAAAATTGTATGTAATTTTAAGGCTGTTGAACATGTGAAAAGGAGCATATTTCACAATACATATATAGTTGACACATCTCTACTGTATCCTTTGTAGTCAAGTTTGTAACTTTATGGTTTTACTGTATCATTTGAGCTTTGAAAAGATTATATTGTAAGCTTCTATCTATAACTAATAGTATTGTTAAGCTTCTGCCAACTAGTACTCATAGTGGATATTATGACAACAATAATAACAACATGAGTTGTGGATCATTAATAACCACAATAATAATGATAAGTTCAAACATCACACTGTAATAAGTTCAAACATCACAATAGCTACTAGTACTCATTAGAAGATTCAAATACAAATTAAGTTCAAACATCACACAGTAACATATGGGAAAAAAAAACATCACAGTAGCTACTAGTACTATTTAGGAGAATAGAATTCTAATTAATTACTCGGCTCATGATCTCAGCCCGCAAGCACATGTAGTATTTTTTTTGCTCATCTGGCATGCCACTAAGGTCCATGGTCATAATCCTCTCTTCATCCCTCTTCCTCTGCAATTGGACCTCTTGACTCCTCACCTCAACAAGTAGTTTTTCATTTGCAACTCGTTCCTGTTCAAGAGCAAATGCTTTGTTGAACCTCTGATCTTTCTTTAGCTCTTTCTCCCCATTAGTTTCTTTTAACTGTGCCCACATATTTTCTAAGGTTGCTGTCACACTTTTTTTCTTCTCTTGCAGCAATGCTGCTTTTGCCTTCTTCTTACCAATTGGCCTTGTCAATGCATTAGCATCTAAGTCTTCAACTGCATCTTGTCCTACTTCACTTGGGGAAGTTGCACTCGGATCAGCTGTAGGCCTTGACTTCTGCTTCTTGTTAGATGTTTTAGTAGCAGCAAATTCATCAAGTTTAGCAAGCCATTTCGGTTGTGTTCTCAGCTTATTCCAGCAATGCATGAACTGAAATGCTTTGTTATGTTGGTCTTCGGCCTTGTACAAAGCACATGCCTCTGCAACCTGCACACACCAACATCTAAGGGATATCCATTTATGAGATATAATAAAAATAATCGAAACAAATCCATCTTAGACAAGTGAGTAATTACCTTGTCTTGCATTGTAGTACCACTTTGACGCCTTAACTCAATCCGTGTTAGACATCCACAAAAATTGTTCACACATTTCTGTATGGTCTCCCACCGGTGCATTAGAGAATTAATGGTACGCGTTGATTGGCACGTCTTGTGCTCATGGAAATAGTCACAGATACGAGACCAATACCTGCCACCTTTTTGATCTTTGCCTACGACCGGATCCAAACTTATATTCAGCCACGCTGAAACCAAAACCTCATCTTCGTGGTCACTGAAATTCTTTGATCTCTTATGGTTTGGCCTCGCAGAGGGGACTGCTGGACTAACTTGCATTGCTTGTGACTGATGGTCAGCATTCGTGTTGCTATAATTATCAAAATCCCCTAGATTGGTTTCAACCATCATGTTGGAAAAATATCCATTTCCTGCAAGCATTTAACCAGTGATAAGTCTTCAGACAAAGCCTAAAGACAGAACGAACAGATATGGGCTATGGCCACATTTTTTAACAGATCAACAACACACAAAGATTTGCTTTTGCAGATCACTGAACAGTAGCAAGCTAACTGAAATCATTACAGAAACCAAGACTCCAAAATATGTACCATTTCACAGGCAAATTTCTTAAAAAACAAAGGTAAGATAAAATGATAATATATATATATATATGTATATATATATATATATATATATTATCCTCAAATTCTATTGCATCATAAATCAATATGCTTTTCATTTACAATACTCCCACTATCTGATCCAACGATTTTACCAGTAGTTTTTAGCAGACAGTTGATTCATTGCCCAATGATACTCAAGGAAGTAAATTCAAGCAAGCTACAATTTTATGATGCCCAGGTTTCAGAAGAACCAAGTACATCTTTTGGATTACAAGATATAACTCAATGATTCTGGAGAACAAAATAACCAGATACATTAACTTAAAGAATATCTAACTTCACCTAACACAAGTCATTATTAACAAAAATACATTTCAAGACATAATGTGCTCTGTTCCAGTCATATGAAAATTGCTAAACATACTCCAAAAGTGAACTACATATTAGATGCAACAGAAAGTCAAATTGAAAATATTCCCTTGAGTAGAAACCTTACCACAACTGAAAATGCTAGTGTCACTTTTTCCAATTAGAATGTGCTACATCCTTGCTCAAGTTTACCAATAAAAATACCTTTTTTTTTCTCCATACATTGAAGTGGAACCATTACCATTGCATTTAGACATATCAATGAGGGTCTAAATTTAATATCAATGAACAACAACCAGATAAGGTTCACAATCGTTCTTTAGCTATAAAAACAACGATTGACAAATGCAAGGCTTCAAGATTCTTTGGTTCTCATCAAGGAAAGCACAAACTGCCGGAATTAGTGATTAGAAAAGAGCATATGATTACAGGTTATGAGATTCATACCCTTTAGAAAAGTGTTTCCGTTGGCCATGTCCTCAAAGGATGCAGAGGGGGCGTAGCTGCCAGTGTACGGCTCCGCCAGGGGATCATCATTGTCTCCGGCAAAAAGGCCTGCCATCGGAGGACATGGTGGTAGTCGACCCTGCACCTCACTTCGCATCTCAACTCCACTTGTCTGGCCGACGCCGTCGTTCAATTGGGAGTTGGGGCCGCCGGCGGCTATGACCCGGTGCATCTCCTGGCCGCCGCGCCGCTGTTGCCTTGGCCGGCTGGGATCGATTGGTGGCTGCATCTGCAACACTTTCGCGCCGCCGCCGATGCTTGCTTTCGGGATTGGGCCTTCCTCGAACTGGCGCGCGAGGCTTGATAAATATCGCGGGAATAGATCATATAGCGCGGGAAAGGAAACATGGGGCGATTGGGGAGGGAATCGGCACCGCGCAAATATCCGCGGCAAGGAGCTCAAGATTGGGGAGGGCGAAAAAATGGGGAAGATTTACGGGATGTGTTGGAGGACAATTTTTCTGTGTTTTAACCCTAATAGCGAATTAGGGATATTTTACGGGATGTGTTGGAGTTGCTCTAATACAAACACAACTCCAATACTTCCTCCTCTCTCTCTGTCTCCTCTCACCCACACCACAAACACACACCTCAATTATAGCATAACAACAATGCTTTCTCTTTCAACCTTCATCACGCTTCTAAACCACCCAAAATTCATAATTTATTACTTCTTTAAGAAAAAATAAATGCAAAGAATATTCTGCACAGTATTTTATTTTCTTAAAAAAAAAAATTAAACATCAAAGGAAACTCACACCACATCTTTCTCGCTCTCTTCGACCCCCATAAAATCTCACATATCGCTGTGTGCTAAAGTCTCGAGATCCTATGACTCAACAGGTGACGATTCCAGCAGCAAAGGTGCTGAAGATCAGTCAGTTTTCAGCTATTCATTATTGCTTAGCAGCTCTCACATGTCGCTTTCTTCGAGCACCAGATGTCACCTCTCATTCTCGTCGAACAACAAATCTCGCACCACGTCTAACACTAGACTTTCTCGCTCTCTTCGACCCCCAGAAGATCTCACATATCGTTGTGTGCTAATCAAAGTATTCCAGTCTGTGATGGGTTCTTGTGCAGGAATTCCAGCCTGCGATGTTTGTCACAAATCAAAGCAATGTAGATTATCCTTCCATTTTAGTGTTAGTAGAAGCACTCATATTTTTGACCTCATTCATGCTGATATCTGGGCCCGTACAATGAGAAATCAGTCACAAACACTAATTATATGCTCACTATTGTTGATGATAAGTCAAGGGCCACATGGATTTTCCTCGTGAAATACAAATCATGTAGATGGTCAATTAGTTGATCACATACTTCAAAGAAAGATATTTCTCATGCTTAGTAAAATACGTAAACATCTTTTGTATCATACAAATAATGCAATCATTTTCACTTATTTGTCCTAGATCTTTTAATCAACTATAAGGGCCATACAACCTGATCATGTTCTTTGAAACTTAAAATCGTACAATATAAAATGAGGAAATACATTTTTTTTCCCTGTGTGGCTATGACCAACATGATTCTCGGGTAAAAAAATGTGAAGTTCCTTTGCATTGTCTTTCACATTTTAATTGAACGGCTTCTTACACAGATAGCTACTATAGAAGCTGAGAAAACAATTCTGAGGTTATAGTCAATGGGAGAACTAAAAAGTTTCTAAATTGAGGAAATTTGCATACGAGTAGTCGTATCTTCCAGCATGGAAAGTTCTAACCAATTGGAATGGTTATGTATCCAACCGGACGACATTTTACTATTTGGATCTCAGCCCTAAGGAAGAAGAGGCAAAGAAATATATGAATGGCCCGGACGACCAGAAAATTGAAAGAATCATGAGTTGGGATGATTTGCTGACCATAAAAGATTTAATGAAAATGGAATTATTCGAATTCCATCTAACGTCCGGTAGAGAAATATCAACAAAGGAGTACATTTGGAACAATTGTGGAGTACATACTATGAAAGAGTACTTCTTCATTGCGGTTGTTATCTCTTAAGATCTTACATCTTAAGTGCAACGATGGGAGTACCTGTAAATATTGTAATGAAAGCTTCTGATGCATACAAGGTTGCTACTAACGCATAAGTAAATTTTTTAAGATTGGAAACATGTTGAGTGTTACAACCAAAAGCTTACGGATTGATGTTGTGTTTTGCCCCTACTTCACTCCTTAAACTTTTAATTGTAACACTCAACACGTTTCCAATCTTCAAATTAGCTAATACGTTAGTAGCAAACTTGTATGCATAAGAAGATATTTCATTACAATATTTATAGTACTTTCATTGTTGGACTTAAGATGTAAGAGATAACGACCGCAATGGAGAAGTACTCTTTCATAGTAAATAGGGTATGTACTCCATGGTTGTTCCAAATGTACTCTTTCAGTGATATTTCTCTACCGGACGCTAGATGGAATTCGAATAATTCCATTTTCAATTAATCTTTTATGGTCAGCAACTCATCCGAATCTCCTCTCTGCATACTCATGATTCTCATTCAAATATTTTTTCTCTTCTTCTTTAGGGTTGAGATCCAAATAGTGAAATGTCGTCCGGTTGGATACGTAACCATCCAATTGGTTAGAACTTTCCATGCTGGAAGATATGACAACTCGTATGCAAATTTCCTCAATTTAAAAACTTTGCCGTTCTGACTGTAACTCATAATTGCTTTCTCAACTTCCATAGTAGCTATCTGTGTAAGAGTCGTTCAATTAAAATATGAAAGACAATGCAAAGAAACTTCACATTTTTACTCGAGATCGAGAATCATACTTGCCATAGCCACAAGTAGAAAAAAAATGTATCCCCTCATTATGTGAAAAGAAATATTGTACGATTTTAAGTTTTCAGAGAACATGATCTTGTATGGCCTTATTGGTGATTAAAAGATCTCCAACAAAGAAGTGAAAAAGGATTGCATTAAAATGGTGTATGATACAAACGATGTTTACATATTTTACATGAATGAGGTCAAAATAAATTTTATTAATAATTGCATTTCTTAATTTTGGAATGTTCAACCCAATCTTGCGAACCTGAGAAAATTCAGCATCTGGATGGAGTTGGATGCAAGTCGGGGGAAGGAACTTAAATTCGTTAATCGATGGGTTCCAGAGGGCAATTCTACCACCAACAAACTTATCCACGAGGCACACCACGCCATTGCAATAGCCCTGGATCTTAACACTCTAAATGGCAAGTGGAGTTGTCGTGTTGATAATGATTTGTCATCCCCATCAAACACAGAGAAAAAAATTACACCTCAAGTCATTGTCTCCATCAGTATTAATATCGTTGCCATGTTTGCGCAGCAAAAGAGGAAGCTGTCGATTTGCAGATGGCGTTTGGGGATGTAAAGCGAGGGTTTGTGTTCGATTGATTAGAGATTCTTGAAAAAATACCTGGAATTGAAGAGGGATCTTCGAGCAGCAGCGTCCTTCAACACCAACATTCCCATATTGAATCCATGAAAGCTTGAGTGATTTGGTGCTCTGTTAAAACCTCCACACTTACTTAGGGTTTTCGTTCGTATGAACTCTGTACTCATGATAGCTAATGATAAAGGAAAATGCTACGTGTAAATGACGGATAAATCAAATGAATTAAAAAAATGGAAATGTATAGATAAATCCCCAATCCTAAATTCATCTTCTCATTCAGTCCCTAGTGAAAAATTTTTCCATTCAACTCCCTAGTCAACAACTTTATGGTCCCCTCTAAGGT